AAAGTGTTGTGTGTTAAAAGCTTCTGTGTGTAAAAGCGTCTGTGTGTTAAGGAGTCTGTGTGTAAAAGCGTCTGTGTGTAAAAGCGTCTGTGTGTAAAAGTGTCTGTGTGTAAAAGCGTCTGTGTGTAAAAGTGTCTGTGTGTAAAAGCGTCTGTGTGTAAAAGTGTCTGCGTGTAAAAGCCTCTGTGTGTAAAAGCTTCTGTGTGTAAAAGCGTCTGCGTGTAAAAAAAAGTGTCTGGGTGTAAACGCGTCTGTGTGTAAAAGTGTCTGTGTGTAAACGCGTCTGTGAAAGTGTTTGTGTGTAAAAGCGTCTGTGTGTAAAAGGAGTCTGTGTGTAAAAGCGTCTGTGTGTAAAAGCCTCTGTGTAAAGGCCTCTGTGTGTGAAAGTGTTTGTGTGTAAAAGCTTCTGTGTGTAACAGCTTCTGTGTGTGAAAGTGTGTGTGTCTAAAAACATCTGCGTGTAAAAGCGTCTGTGTGTAAAAGCCAATGCGTGTAAAAGTGTCTAGTGTCTATGTGTAAAGGCGTCTGTGTGTAAAAGCCTATGTGTGTAAAAGTGTCTAGTGTCTGCGTGTAAAACCTTCTGTGTGTAAAAGCTTCTGTGTGTAAAAGCGTCTGTGTGTAAACGCTTCTGTGTGTAAAAGCGTCTGTGTGTAAATGCGTCTGTGTGTAAAAGCGTCTGTGTGCAAAAGCGTCTGCGTGTGAAAAACAATACGAAGGATAGGATGCAAACCAGTGTTTTGTACTTGTAATATATTGTCTTGATACTACTTGTCTCGCCTGCCTAAAATACATCTTTAATATATTGTCTTGCAATATAGTGTCTCAATACTAACAACAGAAGACCCTGCTCTCTCTCTCTCTCCCTCTTTCTTTCTCTCTCTCTCTCTCTCCCTCTCTCTCTCTCTCTCTCTCTCCCTTTCTCTCTATCTATGTCTCTCTGTGGTTGCAAGACACGTGTCATATGATGCCCTTTACCAAGCAGCACAGTGCATATGCATGGGTTGTCACATGTATCCTCTTCTTAATCAATCTTACTTTTCACAACTTACCCCTCCATAGCTCATATAAAATTCACCAACCTATCACCGACTATTTTTTACGACTACCATACTCAGAGCTGCTTGAAAAACGTCTTTTTCGCTCTCGGGCCAACCGTCGTCTAGTTTTGAGGCCATGTATTCATTCTCTTAGGCAGGCTCCTTAGGTCAGTTTTACTAGGTATAGAACATGGTTCAACGTTTTATTTCTCACATCACTCATCATCGTCATCAGGTTCTGTTTAGGCTATGTATTCACTCTCTTAGGCAGGCTCCTTAGGTTACTATATAGCAAACAGTTTAGTTTTGATGAATCAATCATGTTTTGATGAAGCAGGGAATTTTGTTATGCAGATTGAGCCGAAACTTGTCGGAACCTTTTCGGTCAAGAGCTCAGCAACAACTCAAGCTCATTCTGCAGTTCCGGACCTCAGAATTTTCACTTGCCAATGTACCTGTACGATTATTTGTTCTTGATGATGAGATGGAATTACAAATGAGGTCTTGGCTGAAAGGCTTTATCGCACAGTCTTGTGCATCGTTTTCTTTTTGAAACTCAAACGTACAGCTTTTGCATACGCATTTTCTTCAATGTTAGGATTTACGACTTATCGAACTCGGTTTAACTTTTTGCTTTTCACTTCACTCGTCATCGTCATCAGGTTCTTTTAGGCCAGGTATTCATTCTCTTAGGCGGGCTCTTTAGGCCGGTTTTCTTAGGTAAAAACTAGGCGGTTTGCGGTTTTGCCCCATTTCGGGGCTAATGTGTGTGTGTGTACACCGTTATAACAAACGGCTTTAGTTCTTGTCATCGATCTTGTACTATTCAAAAAAAAAGCAGGGGCATCATGATATGCAGAGGTACCCATGTCACTTCCTCTGCCAACGAAGCTGGGTGACATGTGGCAAGGATATAGATCAGGGACGCCTGATCTACGTACCTGCTATAGTTTCAACTGTTGACTTTCTGTTCTTGTTTATGAGCTGTGCGTTGTTTCTTCGATCGTGAATCTGTGTCCGCTGAAATTCTACTGCCAGGCAACTCAGGAAATCAGGCGAAGACTATGACATCATTCACACTTTTTACTGGCCATTACCCGCAATGTGTGTGTGTGTGTGGGAACCCTGAATCAAAGGGTAAAAGCAGGGGGCCCGTGGACGCATAGATGGCACGGGCCAACGAAGACCCATCTATGTCGTCATGAAAACGTACCTGCAAAACTCTCATCGTCAGAAATGGCAGGGTGGCCAAGCCAAAAACCACCCATGCCGACATGCCATGACAGGACATGACACGCTAACGTAGCAACATGACATGATGGTTATCATTTCATCTCATTTCACCCTCTCCAAATTCAAGGAGTTTACCAAAGTGTGTCTTTCATGCACCCGGATCTCTGATAAAGTGCCGGGGAAGCTTGGTGGTTCGCCCGCCGGGAATACCAGGTTACAAGAATAAATCCAGACATAATGTTGCCAGAAGCCAGTTCCGCACAAGCATCCAGAAGTCTCCATCAGGGAGTCTCCATCAGGGGGTTGAATGCTTCTCAGAGTAAATCCAGAGACCACGCCAGAATAAATCCAGAGTGAAAATTTCATCCCTTAGAATAAGCCCGTGTCATCCCATGATTCATGATTCATGTTCACTTTGCAATCATGTAAAAACCTAGCACTGAGAGAAACAGCACCATGCCGTTACCAGCCTTTTTTGTCGGTCGTTGGTTGCTTGCTGAACAGCCGGAAATTCGGATGCAGTGGTTTGCTTTTGTCAGCCTTCTTCAGTGGAAATTGAACTGTACCTGCATCAGTTTTATATTTTCGTCATGGGACGTGGCTAACCCAAGAACCACCAAGCCGTTCTCAAACAATTGGTTTTGCAATTTGCACGGTTGACTTCTTTGTTATTTGGATCATGGTCCACGACGATGATTTTGGTTTATTGTGCATGATCGCCGAAAACATGTCGCCGATTATACTCTTTTGGGCAACCTTCGCCGAAACCTGTCGCCGTTAACACTATTTTTGATTTTCAACTTGACGATCTTTTTCAACAATTTGGAATCTGGTTTGGCTTTCGTTTGACAACATTGGATACCCTACATCGTTTTCGAGAAGTACTACAAGGGGATCTACCTTAGGTCCAATTGTCTAGGCTGGTTTGCATGTTACAGGACTCAGTTCCTGACGGATCTATTCAAAGATCCATTATTGTCTAGTGTAATATCCATGGTGGCAACCGGCTAAGCCGAGAACGGCACGTTGACTTTGAAATCACCACGTGCATTTTTGCAACAGTTTCCCACATCGCACGTTTGCCGCAATCTGTCTTTTTCGCTTTTTTGGATTATTTGCTACAAGGCAGGGAAGGGTCAGCTCCAATCTTGATGGGCATACAATCAGTGGACGAGAGAACCTCAACCCCTGATTGCACCTCCAGCTCCTGTCAAATTTACCGGCGGTGTTTTTTGCACGTGTGACACATTCCAACCTCAAACTTCGATATGCTGTGGTCAAACAAACAACTTTTTTGAAGTTTGATGCCAGCTTGACCCATGGCAATCACTCCCTTGAGCCTCCATGTCTTTGGGGCACAGCTGCGAGAAAAAACCCACTTGGGGCATCCAGAGCCACTGGTAGATCATTGTGCCCAAAGACCTCCGCCAGTGCAAGCAAGGTCAAGAAACGGAATGAAGCCGAAGCAAGTGGATGACTACCGATCCAACGGTCTTCGTTGGGCCCTGTTCATGTAGGAATACAAAGGAAGTGGCAAGCATACGAACTTCTTGCGGCGAAAATGACGCGGCAGGCGGGAAAATATCTGAGTGCACGGCTGGTTTCCAAACGCGAAGAAACAATCGGGAATCCCGATCTGAACGTTCATGCGCGAGAACAAGACCATGTCCGCCAAATGAAGCAAAGAAAACACGGTATTGGACACGACAATGATCGCGCGATAGGATATCTGGGAGCTGTAACGGTTGTAAGTGTACCTGGGTTGATTTCCCCCAACGAAACGACATCTACGCCGCTCTCCGAAAAATTAACCGACCCACAGAGAGCAATATCGAACATAGGGCAACATGAAACAGGCCAATGCAAATTTAGCTACAAGCCAAAGAGGGTTGCAAAGCTGCCCATGCATCCCAACGTCGCGTTGTAGAAGAGCATAGAAAAGTGTGGTCCTTCGGGGTACTCCTCCGGCGTATCAGTGAGAAAGTAAAACGCAGGGCCGCTGATCGAAAGGTGCAAGGAACCTGGCTGGCTGGCCCTCAAAAAAACTGCTGGGCCTTCTGCGACCCCAGTCCCATACCGAAGGTGTCTGTGGGTAAGGGCCCCTCGCAGAACGGAAGTGTATGGTGGAAAAACTGAAGGCCGCAGGCAATACCAGGCCAAAAAAAGTCATGTGCGACGCTAGTATGCTCCACGCGCTACTTCTTGTGAAGCCCTGCAACATTGGATGCATCATCTACCCTCTTGCCTCACGAGCTAAGTCTTCCGCTTGTCTACTCCCCACAGCAACGGGTGGACAATTTTCACCCTGCTTCATTCGGATATTTTGGCTTCTGGCCTTTGGGAAAAATGGATGTGTTCAGCTTGGCGATGTTTTCTTTCTCAATTCAACCCCCTTATCGGCATTTTCTGTGTGCTGGCCTCCGAGCAAAAGGGGCCGGTCACCTCCCATCTCCCTGCGCCTGTCAAGCGTAGTTCTACCCGCCAACCGATGATTCAACTTCCATCCTACTTCAATATCTAACTTTTTGCGCCCCTCAGGTCTTCAGGCAATGGTCGGGCCGTGCAGCTTACTTGCGGCCATATTCATGGATCATGCGCGGGCCTACCACAACCAAAGGGAAACGTACGTCCCAAGGGATCCGGTGTCTTTAGGTCACTAGAGCTCCTCACCTGGTCTTTTTGTCAGCACAGCTGCGGCATCTAGATAAACAGGCAATTCATGACAACGGCGGCACGACAGACGCCGTTGCTTTTGCAATTTGAACAGCTGACATCCAACAGACCGCGCTACGAATGCTGTGACAAACTGGGTGCTTGTGGTCGCTGCCCAGTCGCTTTGCAGCAGGGTGAAGGCAGAAAACTTCGCGATCACCGGCGACAAGCAAATGCTGAAGCTGCCCGCAACCACCAAGGCAACCAAAAGAGCTACCACTGCATTCACCTCATGCTTTCAGAAAATGCTGGGGCCGAGGAAACGTCATCCCCCTAAACCAACTTCCAACCATGCCCCGGTAAAGCCTGCCATGGTTTTGCCACTGGCAAAGGTGTGCTTTGCACATCTGAGTGTTGCTGGATTGGCTTGATTCAATCAAAGAAACAATGGCCCCGGAGCGAGAGGCTCCTATGCCAAGAGCATACAGTCAACAAGTGGTTGTGTCTGCTTTCGTGACTTGATTGAAGCTAACTAGGAAGCTCTGCCTCTCCTGACCTGCCCCGCGCCTGCGCATCTTTGGTGGCGATGGCCGTGGCGCTCATTGCCAATGATGCACCCAGCAGCACCAAGGACAAGGCCATGGCCTCACGTTGGCGCCAAAAATTGAGACGTCGCTGGCGCAAGGCATCTGGACCTGGGAGAAGGTGGCGGCAAACGCGCTGACGGCAAGCACGCACAGGATTTGGAACGTGTATGCGCGCATCTGGATCATGGCATGCGCGCGCGCACATGTTCTCGTATGCGCAACAGGCAGGCGCAGACATTTGCATTGGCTTGCGCTTGTTTGTCTAACCCGCCCCGTGGCGCAGCAACGGTCGCGTAGTACATCGGAAAGCATCAGCTCCCAAAGCCGGCAATTTTTCAACCGCTGGCGCTGAGCACGCTTTTTTGCATGTGCCGGCTTGTCCATGCACTGAGGCAAGCCAAGGGGTGAAATACATCTTGACCAGGCACGAACGGATAAACACACACACACACACCTAGAGACATACAAGACTGGGGGGTAGAGCCCACGAACACGGATGCGTATGACGGGAGAAGCGCTTTTTGTGACGCAACCTGGTAAGGCAGTCTTGTATGTTAAACCCCTGTTACCCAACCATTACGGGAGGATTTCTTTATACTGTGAGCAAGGCCTTCCTGAAAACCACCGTCATGCGTTCGTCAACCTCAAGAGCGCTGAGTCTTGAAGGTGGTGTGTGGAGAGTGTAGAGAGGTGCGTAGAGCATGCTGGGTGGGCTGTGCATTGTGGAGTGGAATGCGGAATTGAGCGAAGGGTTTGCAGTGTAGAGCTTGCAGTGGGGAATGGTAATGTAGATAGAGTGCGGCATGCAGAGGGAAGAATGTGGATCTTCGAGCGTGGCGTGTAGAATGCGTCAGGCGTGTAGCGTATGCTAAGCGTGCTGGGCGTGGTGCCAGCAGTGTAGAGTTTCAAGCGCGAGGTGGAAAGTTTGCAGCACAAAGTGTTGCGCGTTTAGCGTGGAGCACGTGGGGTGTACAGTGAACCGTAGAAAATGTAAACCGTGAAGTGTGGAGCCTGGAGTGTAGGGTGTGGCATGCGGCATTTGAGAATGTAAGACGTGGAGGGCGAATGGTAGAGTGGAAGGCGGCGTGTTGGAACTTAGGCCGTGAAGAGACCCCCCATGCTACTTGGGAGCATTTTGCATGATGAAAGGTCATTTTGCGTAGCAGGCCTGGGGCTTTTTAGCCGTGCCTGTCAGGAAAGCCTCTAGAGGCGTCGTGCCTCCATGTGGTGCATGCCATGAAAAACGGCGACTCGCGTAGTGACAGCCACAGAAGACTGCCAAGTGCAGAAAATTGTTTTGCATGGCCTTTCTAAAATGACATCTGTTTTTCCCCGCGTCCTTGTCACATACGAGCTTGACACGGGCCAAATTATCACACGAACACAACAGTCACATACAACCTTGTCAGATACAAACTTGACCCCAGACACATAACGTTTTCACGCACACACACACACACGCGCAAGACTGTCACACAGAGCAGATACAGCATTGTTACACACAACAATGTCGCGCACGGCGTTCTCACAGGCGCTGCTTGCTCTTGCGTTGCAGGTGATTTTTTTGCGTGGCAGCACGGCAGTTATACAGGTTTGTGAATGGGGTAGACCGCCTTGGGCCGGATGCGTCACCTGGCAGAGCGGCGTTTCCCACAGCTCTAAAAGTTTTTCGCCGCCAAGCAGGCGCGGCAATTCTATGGGTGGGGTTGGGTGGGCGTAGCCGGCGCTCCTCTTGCTCCTGAAGTAGCCCTTGTGGGGCAAGCGAGCCTATGCTGCTCAAGTAGCTTTTGTGCGGGGTGGGCGCAGCATTCCCTGCTGCTCAAATAGCCTTTGTGTGTCAGGCGCGGGCGGCATGGTCACACACTCTGTCAAGCAACATTGTCACCCTCGCGAAACATTGCCGCACGCGACAATGTCACACACACACACGCAGCCTTCCCACACAGGTATTGTCATGCGCAGCATTGTTACACACAATCTTCCCAAAACGTTCTTTGGTGGCCTCACCCTGTCACCCCTGGCGCTTTCTGGAAGAAATTGACCGGCAGGGCCATCCGGCCCTCCAATTGAAGTGCGGTATTTAGAGAGGTCCCGCGTCATTTTCCGTGGCAGGCAGGGCTAGTCCTCTTGTGTGTCTTCATTGGCAATGGCATTCATTGTCAGGGCTGTGCCAAGGAGCATCGAAGTGCAACTGGCGTTGTCGGCGCAATCCATTGTTAGCTCATTGCATAGCAGTGTTGTGTCGTGAGCGTTTTCAATCACTAGAGAATCGACCTACTGTTGACAGGAGGCTTCAAAATGCACCTCAGCATTATTGATCCTGCATGCAAGAATGATGTTGCCTGACATGCGAAATGCTTTCGTCATGTTTTCAAGATATCTCGTGTCAGGTGCAAGATCCCTGGGAAGTCGAAGTTCACCTTTCATGGCTGGCGCGATACTTGAGACCTGTGGTGCTGCTGGCCCATTTGGTCATGTATGAAAAGCGCGGCAGAATGTCAGTTTGCCCGGCAGTCCCGCTTGGTGCTGCTCTCTCCAACACGCCGCCTGCCCAGCACCATATTCACCCACAGCTCCCACTCCCCATAGCACTTTCCACGCTCCACGCTTCAGCGCCCCGCGCTCCCTACACCCCAGACCGCAGACCTTATGATGCATCAGATTCGACGCCCTGCAGTCCGTGCCCAATGCAACCTTTGCATGCTCTCTATGTGCCACGCTCGACACGCCACGCTGCACGCTCTAAAACTCTTTCCACACCCCGCGGCACCCACCATCCCCGCACTCACCACGCACGCCGCCCTGCGCGCCCCAGGGTCGAACACCAGGCCCCGAGAGATAAACAAGAACTTCCTGCCGCTCTCATGTCTCTCGGATACAACTTATATGCGAGGGACGGCGCATCACTTGCACACGCAAAACTGACTCAGTTGCACACGCAGATTTCTGACTCACTTGTACGCACAAAATTGACTCACTTGTACACACAGGCTTGGGGGGTGGGGTGGGGTGGGGCACTCAGTGGGACCAGCCACAACCTTTCTTCAACTTCATTATAAGGACACAACCGCTACTCGACTTCCTTCGGCTTACCATCACAACCTTGTGGGTGGGGTGGGGCTAGGGAAGAAAAGGGTACTTAGATGGGCTGTGGTTTTACTAACTAGTTGTCACTGTTGAGCATGATTAAAATGCCTTCACAAACTGTACGTTAACCATATGCTAAGTATATTTTCAGCCGTTGATAATCCTTGTACTTTATCTAATGTCTTTATCACAATTACCAGTAGTACCGCACAAGGCGGTGGCGGAAGTTTCAAAAATAGGAAACCTATAGGAGAGGTTGGTTGTTGTGAATCACGGATGGAAGAGCGAAGCCACTGATGGACCGAAAGGTGCTTGAGGTCTCCTCTCTTTCTCTCTCTCTCTTTCTCTGACTATCTACCTACCTACCTACCTACCTATCTATCTATCTATGTATCTATCTATCGATCTATCTCTCTCTCTCTGTCATCTAATTACCTATCTATCTATCTGTCTGTCTGTCTATCTATCTGTGACTCTGTCTATCTGTCGATCTGTCTATCTACCTACCTATCTATCTATCGATCGATCTATCTATCTATCTGTCTACCTGTCCATCTGTGGTGCAGTGTCAGTCAGTGTAATGTAGTGTAGTTTAATGTAGTGTAGTGTAGTGGAATGTAGTGTAGTGTAGTGTAATGTAGTGTATTGTAATGTAGTGTTGTGTAGCGTAATTTAGTGTAGTGGAGTGTAGTGGAGTGTAGTTGTAGTTGTAGTTGTAGCGTAGTTTAGTGTAGTGTAATGTAGTGAAGTGTAGTGGCAGGTAGTGTACTGTAGTGTAGTGAAGTGTAGTGTAATGTAGTGTAGTGTGGTGAAATTGAGTGTAGTGGAGTGTAATGGAGTGTAGTTGTAGTTGTAGTTGTAGTTGAGTGTAGCGTAGTGTAATGTAGTGTAGTGTAGTGGAGTGTAGTAGTGTAGCGTGGTGTGCTTTAGTGTAGTGGAGCGTCGTGGAGTGTAGTTTTGTAGTTGCAGTTGTAGTTGTAGTGATGTGGAGTGTAATGTAGTGTAATGTAGTGAAGCGTAGTGGGAGTAGTGTAGCGTAGTGTCATGTAGTGTAGTGTAGTGTAGTGTAGTAGTGTAGCGTGGTGTACTTTAGTGTAGTGGAGTTTTGTGGAGTGTAGTTGTGTAGTTGTAGTTGTAGTTGTAGTGTTGTGGAGTGTAGTGCAGTGTAATGTAGTGAAGCGTCGTGGGAGTAGTGTAGCGTAGTGTCATGTAGTGTAGTGTAATGTAGTGTAGTGTAGTTTAATTTAATGTAGTGGAGTGTCGTGGAGTGTAGTTGTGTAGTTGCATTTGTAGTTGTAGTGTAGCGGAGTGTAGTGTAGTGTAGGGGAAGGTAGTGTAATGTAGTGTAGTGTAATGTAGTGTAGTGTAATGTAGTGTAGTCGAGTGTAGTGGAGTGTAGTGTAGTGTAGTGGGGTGTAGTGGGGTGTAGTGGAGTGTAGTTATGTAGTTGTAGTTGTAGTGTCGTGGAGTATAGTGTAGTGTAATGTAGTGAAGTGTAGTGGGAGTAGTGTAGCGCAGTGTCATGTAGTGTAGTGTACTGTAGTGTAGTGTAGTGTAATTTAATGTAGTGGAGCGTAGTGGAGTGTAGTTGTGTAGTTGCAGTTGTAGTTGTAGTGGAGTGTAGTGTAGTGTAATGTAGTGAAGTGTAGTGGAAGGTAGTGTAATGTAGTGTAGTGCAATGTAGCGTAGTGTAGTGGAGTGTAGTGTAATGTAGTGTGGTGTAGTGGGGAGTAGGGAAGTGTAGTGGAGTGTAGTGGAGTATAGTAATGCAGTTGTAGTTGTAGTGTTGTGGAGTGTAGTGTAATGTAGTGAAGCGTAGTGGGAGTAGTGTAGCGCAGTGTCATGTAGTGTAGTGTACTGTAGTGTAGTGTAGTGTAATTTAATGTAGTGGAGCGTAGTGGAGTGTAGTTGTGTAGTTGCAGTTGTAGTTGTAGTTGTAGTGGAGTGTAGTGTAATGTAGTGAAGTGTAGTGGAAGGTCGTGTAATGTAGTGTAGTGCAATGTAGCGTAGTGTAGTGGAGT